TTTTTTTTTTTTTTTTTTTTTTTTTTTTTTTTTTTTTTTTTTTTTTTTTTTTTTTTTTTTTTTTTTAAAAAAAAAAAGTTGATGTATCGATTCTTATGCATGCATAGAGCTTTACTCATTTTTATTTATTGATTTCTTTTTTTTTTTTTTTTTAAAAAAAAAAAGAGATTTGGTAAAAATAAACTCACACATTGAAATGAAATATAATTAACCTTTTATTTACAAGAAACTTTTTTTCGCATCCATTTAGCATCCAAACTACATTCCGGAGATTACAGATCGTTCATAGTATCATATCTATATTTCTCATTGTTTAGATGCTAGTTCGTTATCAACTCTTCTATCGAAGTTAACCAATAACTTTCGGTATGTAGTTTGTTTGTTTTGGTTTTTTTGTGTTGCAAAGTGTTAAATATTTGCGAGTTAATTTTATTGAAATATCAATAACACTTGCAATTCGTCATCATGTACTTTGGGTGAGACATTGTTGAAAATCATCATTTTCTCAAGTATTTAGATGCAACACCTTTAGCAATTCTGTCCTAAATTACCATCTTGGAGATGAATAGAAAATGGTGATCTGTGAAATAAAAATATTTTCTTTTCTGAAATGAACGCGTTCGAACCTGAAAATAAACGGGATTATATTGTCTAAATTACTATCATGAAGGGAGATATTATAACTTCAGACAGAAGCTTAACCGTTTATTAAATAATAATATCTAAAAAGGATTCTCGTGTTCAAAAAGTTGGTTTCTTACTACGGTTGTATAATATCAACTTTTTACGTAATACCGTACGTCAGTGTTGGCATTTGGCCGCGGCCAAGAGATTTTTGACCATTTGACCGTAGCCAATGGCAAAAAATGGTCAAACAGCCAAATATCAAGGTATTAATAAATGTAATGTATTAATACTTAATATTAGAATACATAAATAAACACGCTTGTAATAGATTGACACAATAATGGTTTTTTGGTTGAAAGATTTTCGGTATTTACAGGATCTTTTACAGGGTGTTATCTTCAGGTATGTTCTCTGAGGAGATTTAAGCATCGAATGAAACACCAAAGAAACAGTTGAAAACATATCTATTGTATGGAACTTGTTTGCATTCGCGTAGCACCTTTTCTTTGATTTCTTTAACTGACCACCGATAATTATGTTGACATACTGCGCCAACATGAAAAATGACGACAAAAATGCACATAAATTTGGACGTATACAATGAATCGAATTAATTATGTAATATTTAAAAGGAAAAAAAGGAAAGCGGTTTTTTTTAAACAAATCAATTCCTTTACAAAGTACTACAAAAAAAAATTTATTTCCCATATTTGGGAAAAATTCAAGGCAGGAGATGGTACAAAATGTGAGAGAAAATAATTATTTTTACAAGGATAAATAAATAAACATATAAATATATATATATTGTTCAAACCAATGTTTGTTATTAAAAAAAAAAAAACTTGTGTGTTAAACAAATTCTTTTCTCGAAAAATAAAGATTATAAAACGCATAAGTGAATCAATTTGATTGGTCCCTTAATTTTATTACCTATATTCGTCGTCCACATGCTCTTGAGTGGTGGCGCAGACAAAGAGAGATTGTTTTCATATATTCGGCATGAAATCTATATGATTTTGTTAATATCAGTACACGATTGGTAGCATCGTATTTATCTTGTTATATATATGTTATGATTTCTTTTGCTTTTTCGTTTTTAAAAGTTTGACCTTTCTATTTTTTTTTTTTTTTTTTTTATTTCTTTTTTTTTTTTTTTGTTTCAAACTTTAAACAATAAATTAAAGATCGACTATCTTTGTTAAAAATAAATAAATAAATTTCAAAAAAAAAAAAAAAAAAAAAGAAAAAGAAAAAAAATCCTCCAATAAACTCGCGAAAATAATTTAATAATAACTAGGAGCGATACTTTGTTTTTCCTTTCTTTTTTTTTTTTTTTTTGCAAGCTTTTCCTGACGGTTAAACTTGGGGATTGGGTTCCTCTCGATTCAGGAAAATAATCTAAAAAAAAAAAAAAGAAAGAAAGAAATTAAATTAATTTTTAGAATGCAAGCGGAAAAACGTAAACCGTATTTAGGAAGTAAACAATCATTAAGAGATTATACAACAACATACTTCGATAGGGTTTATAATTATTTAAGAATCTTACCGAATGAACCAATGCCATCATCATTTCCCATATTACCATCAGAGTGTTGCTTTAGATGCAAAACGCCGTATATGATCAACTCGATATTATGGTGTAAGGAATGTGAAATAAGGTTATTTAAAGAAAATTTTGGTAATTGGACGAGTGGAATAGAAGGATTAGATGAATTCATCAAAAGGACTCAGTTGACAACGTCACGTGAGGGAGATTACCTGAAGTTTATTCCTTTCAACGAATTTGACAATAATATATTATTAGAGGAAGGTGGATTTAGTAAAGTTTACCTCGCTTCTTGGAATAACGGACCTTGTTTTGGTACCATGAAAGGTTGGATGAATGAGATGGAAAAACATCATGATGACTTTATTTGGAAGTTGGTTTATGAAGAGGCTCCCAGTTACGTTAGAGAATTCGGCGTAAAAAATGTAAGAGACAGTACACAAAATTTACCTTGTATCAAAAAAAAATCGGAAGGGTGGACTAAAGTCGTTAAAATATTTGGGTTAAGGCATAATAAGAAAAGGTTATCACCATCTCAACCTAACGATTTAAAATTATGGCATGATCGTGTTCTTGATAGACTTGAAATTGAGGTATTTATTATGTATACACGTTTATTTGTTATTTTATATTTATATAATTTTATATATTTGACATTTGACGCATTTTGACAGATTTTAAAAGGGAACTTTTCATGTGGTAAGAGCACAACCGGATCTCAATATGTAGCTCTTAAACAATTAAAGAATTCAAAGAATGTTGGAATTGAATTTGTTCATCAGGTAATATATTATTTAAACCTCTCTCTCTCTTTTTTTTTTGAAGTAATAAATTTATTAACCCCTTTTTTCTTCACTTCTTCCCAAGCTTGAATCAAGTTTTACTATAATAAATTCAAGCAAAAGTCCAAAACTTTACGGAATTTCTCAAGACCCAGAAACAAATGATTATATCTTAGTTATGCAATACGCAAACGGAGGAGATTTACGTCAATATCTACGAGATAATTTCGTTGAAATTGATTGGATTCAAAAAATTTCCATGTTATTAGATGTGGCAAAAGGGTTGAAGGATATACATGATCACGGATGTGCGCATCTTGGTATTCATGATGGGAACATTTTATTAAACCTTTCAAAATCTTTTTTAGAAGATGAAAGTGAAAGTTCACAAAAATATGATATATTGATCTCGGATTTTGGAATGTGCACACCGGCAAACGAATTTTCAAATTCATCGTCACATCAAAAACGTTATGGTTTAATACCTTTTACGTCCCCCGAAATATTATTTAACAGCAACAATGATGAATTATATACGACAGCTTCAGATATTTATTCTTTCGCGATGATAATGTGGGAATTAACTTCAGGACAACCACCTTTTGTTCACCTTGCTCATGATGAGGATTTAATAGAAAAGATTATTGATGGTTTGCGTCCTGAAATCACCAAGGGAACACCAAAATTTTATTTGGATTTAATGGAAGAGTGTTGGAATCACTTTCCATTTAAAAGGCCAAACATTGATGAAATCATTAAAGTTATCGAGAGTTGGAATTTAAAACCCGATTTAATAGCTAAAGCCGAAATCGAAAGGCAGGAAATGATTAAAAGTGATTATTTGATCCTTTTGAACAATTATAAACCACATCCAAAAGCTTGTTACTATAGTAGAATTCTGAACAATTAAAAAAAAATATATATATATATATACACCTTGATTTACTTCATTTTTAACAAAAATTATAAACATTTATTAAATATTTATAAATTAAATTTAATTTCATTAATTTGCATATAAAATGGTAAGTGAAATCATTTAACGTTTGCTGAGGTGATTATGTCCGTATTTAAGTTATTCTTTTGAATGTAATATTACTAATCAACATGTAAAGTATTAATTTTATGAACGTATTATAATTTTTAAAGCTTAGCTTAATGATCTAAAGTTACAATTTTATATTCTAAAGAAAAAAAAAAAAAAAAAAATATATATATATATTTTTTTATTAAAAATATATATATATATATATATATATATTGAAACCTTCGTTTCGATCTCATATTAATAAAGAATTTGCGTTCCGATTACCAGGTCGTTACAATACCTAAAATGAATTACGCGTAATTGAAATCGCATCCTCCTTATTTCTTTTTATTTTTTTTTGCCAACTTTATAAGCTAGTTCCGTATTTTTTTTTTTTTAATCTTACAATAAATCAATCAGTCCTTCTTTCATTTTGTCTGGTCAAACTTTTTGACTAATGTCATTGTTTTGCACCTTTTCTACGGACGGGTATGCTGCGCCAATTAAGTGGTGATTGGATATTTTGCAATCACATGATCGAATCTTAGAAAAATAAAGGTGATCATTTAAAAAAAAAAAAAATAATGTAAAAAAAGTATGCAGCTTTCTTCTACACTTCGTTCAACTCTTCTGATTTCCAATTTTACAAAATTATTCAACAATCCTTCATCCCATCTTTTAAAAAAATATAATAACTTACCTAAATATACAAATTTTTCATTCAAAGGAGAAGAGAATGAAAATGAATCGCAATCAATTTTACTTGACCCTAGCGGACCTTACGCAAATTCACCAAGATATAAAAGAGCTCCAGCTCCAAAAGTAACGGACTTGAATGATTTAACACGGTTAGAGAAGAATGTTTTTATCGATCCTTATGGTGAGTTTTTTTGCAATGATAAACCCTTTTTTTAAATTAAATCGTAAAAATGAATGAGTTTCTTTCCACCTCTTTAAGCTTCAATGGTTGGAGGACCCATTCGTCAATGCATTTATCATCAAAGATGGTTTCCCAAAGGTATATGTTTGTAACCTAAGAAATGTTTTATTGAATTTTGTAATCGTTTCCTTAAGAAACTTTCATTTCACTTTCACTTTACAGATTTCTTGGTAAGGTTTATAAGAGCTTACGATGATGAAACTTCTTCAGTATGGATCGTACCAGATTTTATGGAAGAAGGCGGTACAAAGAGACCTGGTAAAGGTCATTGGATAAGATGCAATGCAAAAACTTTACGAAACGTTTTAAAAGAAGGTATTCGTATCCCAAGAAAATCTTTCAAAAAATATTTTCTTTTAAAAAAAAAAAAAATTTTTTGAATCCTTTTTTTAAATATAGGTAAATATAAAATGATCGACAATCATGGGTATTGGAGAAAAGACATGCATGAACACATCTGGAAAATACTAGTAGAAGATTCTATATTAAGGTTTGATAGAATTATAGATAGGTTGGGAACACATAGGTTTCCTATGAAGAAAGAGAATGCTTTTCATCCAGTGATCAAAGCAGAAAGTTGTTATGAATGTTATAATAAGCCCATTTCGGGGCTTAATTGTGTACTGAGACTTGAAGATCCTCCTCCAAATCAAATAATTGATGATGATGATGATGATGATGATGACGAATTTCGAGGTAAAAAATCAAAGAAAAAATCTGATGATTCTTATAAACCTTTAAGGATTTTACCGAATCATATTGGATCAATTGAGAAAGTATCTTTTATCTCACAAAAAGATGATATCTCTGATAAATTTAATGATGTGAACTACGTGACTCGGAGCATTCCTTTCTATTATGTTAAAACTATTTGGGGTGACAAAGAAATTGAGAAAATTAAAAATTATTTAAATATAAATCAACAAAATCCTATGATCGGTGTTGTAAGTGCGCCGCAAACCAAGCAACTTGCCATATCTTTATGGAAATTGAGAAATTTTTGGCAATAAATTTATCGAACTTTAAAAAATAATATAAAATTTAGCAGCTTGTCGTAGAAATTGATGAAAAGATGGCATGTGCACCAGACTCGGATGTTATATTTCTTGATTCTATTTTTTTTTTTTAAAAAAAAAAAAAGAAGTTTGACTAATAAAAAAAATTACATTAGAAAAGCATCATTGAGAACCCTTATATCAGAAAAAAAAAAAAAAAAAGAAGGAAATAATAAATCTATTCTTACGCGATATTCAAAAAAAAACCTTCATAAAATAACCATGGCCATTAATTCTTTGAAAATTACCTGTTTAAAATGACAACATTTACAATTACATTATATATATAAAAACTAAAACAAATAAAAGGCAAACACTTTATTAAATACGGGATTGAATGTACGCTATTGAACATATAAAGGTCAAACTTTATATATCTACAGTGACGTTTTATAAAATTTTCTTTATATAAACTTTAGGCCAAACAAACTAAATTTTTAGTTTCTCATCAATATAAATAACGAAATCTAACCAGGCCGTCCGGCAAAAAAAAT